CCATCTTCACTGACGCACTCGCAAAACACGCCAGTATGTTAGGCTACTGCGTTTACTGCGCATCTCTCCGTATTAGTTCGACTTGATTTCGTACTTACCAGCGTTGCCGCTTTGGTAATTTTTAACCAAAATTGGTAATTTTTTTCTTTATTTATCAAGTTTGGTAATTTGGTAATTTATTTTTCAATTTGGTAACTTTTTCGATTCGGTCTTACATGGATCTGATTCCACATTAGTAAGTGACCTGTAAGCGTTTCCTTTTATAGAAATACCAGGTAATCCTGGAAGTTTCGCAAGGTGAAAGTTGTTCCAGCGTTTCTTGGCTACTAGAATAGTGTGATCTTTAACAAACTGCTTGACAGTGGCTATTGCTAAGTATATACACCGAGTCCTTTCCTGGAAGGTTTTGGGTGGTCCTACCTTTCCCTGTCAGTTCATCAGCTTTGCAATTACCATCAATTTTCTGGTGTACCCGGCAACCATATATATGAGTAGAATTCTACGTAAATATGTATGTTCTCGTTCAAAAAGCTACGGCATTCAGCGGGGGACTTCACTGTGTCTATGTGTGAGTCGAAAGCTTTCCTTCAAGCGTTGAATTTTTGATATATTTTCTTGTCACTTGTTTACATACAGTGGGCGAAAAAATTATAGCCGCACCATATTTTGACAAGTTTTAACATATTACAAAAAATTACCAAACTTATTTTATATTGAAAAAAATCAACACGTGCTTATTTGTTTGAGTCACTGTAGGTAGGTATGTATTTATGGCTATATTTAAATGGTGCTTACGTAAAATTTTTTATACTTGTATTAAATGTTATACCAATTTAATTAGACTTCATTGTTTTATTAATAAATGTGAGATATAAATACTGCCAGCTCGGTTCCGTTTTTATTATAATTTAAAGAAATAAAAACCAAATATCAAATTTTCGCTTTTAAGCCGTTTATTATGAAAGTGGCATAAGTCACGTCAAACCTCTTGTGCTTAAATGGCCGGTTATTTGTTTTCGAACGCGTTGGTTATTCGCTCAAATTCATCTACCGCAAATTGAAGGTGTTGTCGTTAGTTTATGGCGATAGAACGATTTGCAAGTATCTGCCCATTAAGGCACAAGAGGTACGAAGTGACTTATTGCCACTTTCAAAGCAAACGGCTCATATATATGTACGAATGTATATAATGACAATGAGAAGAGGCTTAAAAAGATGTACTTTTACTTAAAAGTAAAGCTGAATAGCCTGTTGATTACGAATTAAATTCGCATAATTCAAGGTCGCATAACTGTAAAAGCTATTTATGTCGCGTTGTCTGGCTTAGTAATTATTTGCTTGACAAATCGAAAGAAATTTTATAGAGAGACATACTTTTGATTTTTTTGTTTGTTTTTTCTTCAAATAAAATAATACAATGAACGACCTTCGGCATCGTAAAGAAATAAAGCAAAATTAAGTAATTGCTAAGAATAAAATGAAATACAAGCAGCGATGCCAGGTGACGTTTTTAACGTCATTTGGACGTTTTTTGTATCCTGTTGACGTTCGGACGTTTTTTGTGTAAAAAATTACGTTTTTTAACTTCCCAGTAATTTTTCTCTGTTTCTAAATCTTGTAAGTAGAACTGATTTTGAATTATTTTCTTAATAAATCAACAAGCACTCTCGCAAAAGCACCAAACAAGTAGTATCAGCATAAAAAGTCAGAACAAAGTAGGCGACTTTTTTAAGACTTCATTGAAATTGTAATGAATGCAATTTAAAACTTGCACATTATTACCTTAAAATTTAATAATGGTCTATCAAACTCTATACGCAAAAAGTTCTTAAAAAGTGGAAAATCTAACTTAAATTTTGCAGATTTTTTATAATTTTTGTTTGTTATATAATGAGCTAGGCTCCTAAGGAAAAATAATAAACATTAAATAAATAAAAGAAAAACAGCCACAATCACATACATACTTCTGAATACTTATGTACCTTTCTATACAATAAAAGTTTAATAAGAACAATTCTGTGTGCATACATTTAAAAAATACGTTTTTTGGTAGGAAATGACGTTTTTTCAGACTAAGAGGGACGTTTTCTCATGCCGAAGACCTGGAACACTGAATACAAGACAGATTAAAATATAATGAGAAGGAGGAGATACCACACAGGCCACACAGGAGTATTACCCTCTTCCCTACTATATGCACAGACATATGGAGTTTCTTATCACCGGACTTAGTACAGACCGGACTTTTCCATTGGTTTTGACTTACTACTAATCTTAGTCACGCGCGCCGTGGCTGTGGAGGGACCCAGCGCCGTATTAGCCCTGGAGTATATTTTTTTCAATTCTATGTTCCCACGAGTGGCGGATGATGTAGTTTTTGAACAAGACGCCTGAGGAACGTCGTCACGCCAGAAAGAGTCAATAAAATCCATACAATAATAACCGACAACCGAGATATTAAAATGAGTGCGGTGGCTTAGGTTGTAGGTATACCAACTTGGTGGTTATGTTAAAATTTATATAAATTTTTCGACCAGACAAAATTTCATGCAAAAAATGTCGCGTTATCGCTATAAGCGCAACAGAGTGAGCACTCTATAGACGCGATTTTCGATTGTTTTGTTTCAAAAAGGAAAACAAATTTTTTCAGACTCTAGCCGGCGAACTTAGAACCCCCTGCGCCTTGGTAGTAAAATATATGGGTGGAATGAGGAGGTCGTCACTAAAGCAAGCGTCTTTTTTGAGAACCTTGAGAAGACTCTGGACTTAATGCATTGAACTGCAAGGAAAATATGTTGAGTAAGTTTGAGAAGGTTACTGACTTATTAACCCGCCCTCGTAACAATCGGCAGAAAAATTTCCCTTGCTAGTTCGGCCAGCATCCAAAATTTTTTTCTATTCGCATCCGCCCTTCCCCAGGCATGTCACATGTTATGACATATAAAAAGATATCATAAAAGAAATTACTGCTGGCATATGTGGGATGGATAATTATTAAATATTTATTTCGCAAAATAGAAAATATCCGAAGGATGTACACTAGGGCGGCGTAATTAGTTCGGAGCAAAATTTTCGAAGAAAGTGTATAGTAAATTTAAATTCTACGATAAATTCTAGGCAAAAATGGCGAACCAACTATATACCGAAAATTACGTTTGACCTTTTCATTGACCCCATTTCAAAAAGGAAAAGTATATTCTAATTTTTTTGGCCGAAATTTACTTTTCATTGTACAAAAAAATTATGTACATAATGTGAAGAAAACACAAAATTTTGTAAATGAAAAATTAATTTCGTTCAGAAAATATTATAATCAAACGTCATTTTTGGTATATAGTTTGATCACAATTTTTGCCTAGTATCGAACGTAGCATGATAAAAATATAGCAAGGTAGAACCGTTCTCTCAATTTGTCGGCCATGATTTTTTTGAAGTTTGCCAACATTTTAAAATCATATAAAAGTGAAAATAAAAAAAATGAAATTGTTCGAAATTGTTGTTGCTTGAGATTGAAAATGAAAATGTGTGTGTGAGTTTGTGAGTAAATTTAAAAATTAAATTGTTTGGAAATGTCAAGAATTTTAAAAGTGACTCTCAGCGGTTCTACCTTACTATGTTTTTATCATGGAACGTAGTATTTGAATCTGCCATACACTTTTTTAGAAATTAAATTACCCCGCCCTAATGTACATACTATGTGTCTACATAGAATAAAATAAATTAATATAAATAGATAACTATTTCATTAGGTATTTTTATTTGGTTCTTTACATACATACGTACACACATACATATGTACTTTCATATATAGTATTTATCTGCATAAGAACTGCGAAACGAGAAACTAGTTTCATATAAATTTTGCTTCCCATGCGATTTCTCACGCAGTGAAGATGATTTGCGTAAAATAAATTTTGCGTAAAAAACTACGAAATATACAAGTTTATATGTACATACATATAATTATGTGCATATGCATAAGCGTTTATATAAATTTAAGTATGTAGATATTTCTTATATGGATTTAATTTTATATGTTTTGAGTCATTTTGTGTTTGCCCAAACACGTATGACGGTACACTTACTTTCTTGAATCAAATTTTAATCCAATCTTATGAGCAATCCTTTTATACATAAATATGTGCATATGTTTTCACCACAAAATTAAATTTGTACAAAATTATCGATTTGGTAAAACTTTTATTGTTGTGAAATTTAATTTACAACGAATGCAGCTGAGTCAGTATCTACTGAGAAGAGACTTTGCTTGCTCATGATACTGTAATTACATACTTATTTTTTCCGAAATAATATATTTAGGAAATATATTCAGTTGATTGAGAATACTAATTACTTAATTAAAAATAACAATAAATTAATATGTACGTAATTTGGTGCTTTTTCTGAATTATTTTTTTTTTTTGCAAGTAACAAGCTGATGAGTAATCAGAAGAGTATTCCCAAATTTCTATGAGCAAGAATCTACATTTTTCTTTGCAGATTAACTGGGGAAATAGCCCCAAAGAGAAAATATCACTGCCCTTACCGCGATAAAAATGTAAGCGAAATTTTTAAAATTTGTTTTGATGCAGAAATTCATCCAGGTGTTGTAGGGGCATTTCTGCATCAAAACGAAAAAAAATGTTGCTTACGTTATTTTCGAGGTTAGGGCTCGATATATGCACATAAATATGTATTTGCCCAGTTTAAAGTATTTAATGAATATCTATGAGGAATGTGAAACAGTAATAAAAACGCTTTAAACAGAATATCATATGCTAATAAGTATAAAGAAAACTTGTCTAAAAACCAGAGATTGGTCTCGTAAAAACAGAGATTCAAGATTTTAAAAGAACTAGCATATGAAGCAGTCTTGAATGAAAACTCTTTTAAAACATCAATCTGAAATCTAAAATTGTCTTTTTAAACTTTTGTATCACGTTATAAAAAAACTTTTCTTATATAATCACATAAAATTTGTCTTATTTTTTTCCTTTCAGACACAGAAATCAATGATTTTTCCGCTGTCGCTCTTCAACGAAAGCAAAATACGCTTAAATCACAGTTAACAGATGCCATTAAGGAATCTTGCCTGCCAAAAATGTTATGCGAAATGGCTGCTAAGCCAGAATATCTGCTTACCGAAAAGGAGAAGGATCTGTTGTATTTAATAAGGTGAGCAATCGAATAGTTAATTATTTTAATACATAAATAATAGATGGGTAATTCCATGTAAAAGGGTAAAACGACATAAATTTTAAAATGCCTTAATTATACCTATTTTACATTGCATTGTTGAAAAATAAGAAAAGCCGTAATTAAATTACTTTACACCAGTCACAGTGACCTATTCCACCAGTCATAATTTTAAATATTTCTATGACTACTATATCAGTATATATATATATATATTCCACCAGCACCATTCATTCAAGTTGTAGTAAAAAAATTATAAACCCTTTAGTATTTTTTTAAAGTAATTTTATACTCTAGTTATCTTCAAAAATATCTTTCACGGTTGTCAAAGTTCTGATAAAACATTTATTGCTCACAATGGATCACATTCTGGAGTCAAATGTCCCACCAATCACAATGGAATGACACAGATCTAATTTTCATGAAATCTGAGTTAAAATTTTCCAGCAAATATAAGTTTCAAAACGATTTTTTTTATAAAAGTTACGACCACTGTTGGGCGATCCTTTGAAATAAAAGACAGAGTGCGTGAAGTGCGTATGCGCAAAAGAAGTGAAATTTCATCTTCCTTATCCATTTTCATCTCCTCAATCTTCTGCTGAATAATTTTCCTCGTTATTTTACTCCATCTCTACATATCTTTACATCATCGTCTACTCTCAATCTCCATACCTATCTCTATCTTCATCTTCATCTTCATCTTCATCTTCATCTTTATCTTCATCTTCATCTTCATCTTCATCTTCATCTTCATCTT